TATATATATATATATATATGAGACGGATATAAGAAGTAGAGGAAGAAAGAAGAAGAATGCTCTTTCTTTCTCTCCTTCAATCGGTAAAAGATAAGATACTCACTACTAATTAGTATCTTATTTATATCTATTGCATGCATGCATGCATGCATGCATGCATGCATGCGTGCATGTATACATTTTATGCATCCATTGTATGCATGAATACATGCATGCAAGATTAATATGTATGCATGCATGCATGTATGCATGCAATCAGCTTCTTTTCTCCCTCCTGTTCTTCTTGCATAATTATCATTAATATTATTTAATTATATTTATCTGCAAGGGTTTTCTTCCCTAAAAAAAAGAACGAATTCCTTCATCTCCTCGATCCACTGATTAGGGTTTAGGGTTTAGGGTTTAGGGTTTCGGATGTTAGGTCTTGGGTTTGGGATGTAGGGTTTAGGGTTTGGCGCGAAGGATTGAGGGTTTCGGCTGAAGGGTTTAGGGTTTCGTGTGTACGGTCTTGGGTTGTGGGTGTAGGGTTTAGGGTTTGTGGTGTAGGGTCTAGTGTTGGGGGTAAAGGGCTTAATATTGGGGATGGAGGGCCTAGGGTTTGGGGTATAGGGATGAATATTGGGGATGGAGGGTTTAGGGTTTGCGTTGTAGGGCTTAGTGTAGGGTTTGGGGTTCGGGGTGCAGGGCTTAGTACCGGAGGGTTTGGGTCTTGGAGTGCAGGGTTTAGGGTTTGGGGTATAGAGCTTGGGGGTTGGGGTGCAAGGTTTAGTGTGGGGGGTCTAGGGTTTAGGGTTTGAGGCGAAGGGTTTGGTGTTTCGTGTATAGGGTTTAGTGTTTCGTGTATAGGGTTTAGTGTTTGGTCTTTCGTGTTTGGGGTTTCGAGCTCCGTGTTGAGGGTTTCAGGTTTAGGGTTTAGGGTTTCGGGTTTAGGGTTTAGGGTTTCAGGTTTCGTGTTTAGGTATTGTGGATTAATGTTTGGGGCTGCTGGCTCAGGGTTTAGGGTTTGCGAATTAGAGGTTAGGGTTTGTGGATTTGGGTTGAGGGTTTGGGGTTTAGGGTCTTGGTATTGCGAATTAGGGTTTACATTTCCTTGTGTAGTTATTAGTATTGGTGGACGAGGGTTTAGGGGTCCTGGTCTAGGGATTATTACTTTTACATTAGGGTTTTGGTTTCGTGGCTTAGGGAGTATGAGTTGTGAATTAGGGTTTACGGTTGCTGGTCTATGGACTACGATTTGTGGATTAGGGTTTAGGGTTCCAGGCCTAGGGAGTATTATTTGTAGTCTAGGGTTTCGGGTTGCTGGCTGATCCGGCTTAGAGGTGAGGGTTTGTGCATTAGGGTCTGGGGTTTGTAGATTAGGGCGTGGGGTTTGTAGGTTAGGGTTGGGGGTTGAGCTTTGTCGATTAGGGTTTAGTTTTCCTAGTCTAGCGAATACGGCTTGTATATTAGGGTTTGCGGTTATTGGTATACGTTGTGGGGTTTGTGAAGTAGGGTTTGGTGTTTGTGGATTAGGGTTTGGCGTTTGTGGGTTAGGGTTTAGGTTTCCTGGAGTAGAGGTTAGGGTTTGTGAAATAGGGTTTGGGGTTTCTGGTTTAGGGGTTTGGGTTTGTGTATTAGGGTTTGTTGTTTGTGCATTAGTGTTTGTGGTTTGTGTATTAGGGTTTGCTGTTTGTGCATTAGTGTTTGTGGTTTGTGTATTAGTGTTTGTGGTTTGTGTATTAGTGTTTGTGGTTTGTGTATTAGTGTTTGTGGTTTGTGTATTAGTGTTTGTGGTTTGTGATTTAGGGTTTAGGGTTTGTGCATTCATAACATTATTATAATTTATAGGATTAGTAACATTAACAAATGAACTATAAATAGTAGGTGGTTTTTTATGTACAGTAATGATTTTTTTTTCTTTAATAAGACTTTTTCTCCATTGATTAAGAGCTTTCCTCCATGGCCTCCATTGTTCAGCCCTAAATTTAGAGGAAGGAGGAGGGTCTAATAATAATGCTTCCTTAAGACCAATAACCATAAGCATAGGTGGCCTTCTTCCTTGTCTATAATAATGTAGTGCAACATGGAGTGTACGTGCAACTTCAACATTTTTAACACATCTGTCACTAAGCCATTGACCCCCCTTAGGTATATAACGAACATTTTTTATTCTATCTACTAAGGAAGGCCACCATGTATCTTTTTGTACTCTTTCTCCTAATACTGACGAGGCACAGAATAATCCATCTAATACAAGAAATACAGTACCTAATGTATCTATTGCCCACATAGCTTGCCCTCTACGGTACCATGTAGTCATCTGTGTAGTTGCATACCCACATAGACGCTCTGTATGCGTAAGTAATTCCTCTACATCCATGGCGGACATTAAGGATCTCCTCATTAGATCAAAACTTCTTGCTAGTGCAGCAACACCATTCTTATGAGAGGGAGGAAGCTGTAGGGTTAATTGCATATTGAATAATCTCCCTCTTTCTGCTTTTGGATAAGAAGGAAGACGATAAAAAGGATGCAACTCTAATAACTCCTCCGTCATACCATCACGTAATAAATACTCTAACCAACCAAAGTAAGATAACACGGTGTCATCTGTAGGTAGATCAGGCTCCTCTATAGGCTGCAGCAAATCATCACAAGCAGCACCATATGCATCTGCAGCAAATGTGCAGAAAAAGTAATAAATACGCAGAAATAGGGAATGTGCAAAAACTGTATAAAATGTGCAACAGCAGCAGCTGCAGCAGCAAATGTGCAGCAGCAACTAGTGCAGCAGCAGAGTTCTTTTTCAGTGGAAAACACTCATCACCACTTGCCATGGTAAAGACAGAGTAAACCCTAAACCCTAAATACATACTCCTGCTGTTGCTGCAGCAAGTGCTGCAAATGGCGGCAGGGTTTTGCTGCAGTTGTTGCTGCACTGCATGCAAGTTAAGCGCATGCACTTATTGCATGCAAATTATTTGCATAAATGCGCATACATGCATGAAGGAGCACTGACCTGTTCAGGTTCTGCCGACTCCGGAGATTCCGGAGCTTCCTGCTGCTGCTGCTGCTGCTGTTGTTGTTGCAACGCAGCTGCAGCTGCAGCAGGATCAGAAGAAGGAGAAGGAGTAGAGGCAGCAGCATCAGGAGGCATAGCAGGACGAGGAGGTAAGGGAGGAAGAGAACGACGACGAGAAGTAATAGGAGCAGCAGAATTAGGAGGAGGAAAATAATTAAAAAGAGGAAAAGAAGCAGCATGAGGAGTAGGAGGAGGAAGAGAAGAAGGAGAAACAAGATTATTATTAATATTATTATTTATATAATGAGGAGGAAGAGAAGGACTCATAACTTGCTGCTGAGAATTAAGAGGATGTACTATAGATTGATGAACAAGAAGAGAAGCAGAATTAGAAGGAGAAACAGAATTAGCAGGAGAGAGTGCAGGAGAGAGAGAATTAGGAGGAAGAGAATTAGAAGCAGGAATAGAGTGAGAAAGGGAAGGATGTTGAATATATTGAGGATATTGAGGATGAGTCTGTTGTTGAGGATGAGAAGTCTGGTTCAATTGTTGAATTTGTTGAGGATGTTGATTAGGATGTTGAAGTTGGAGAGGATGCTGTTGTTGATTCATTAGCTGAAAAAGTTGAACTTGTTGAACTTGTTGAGGATGTTGAACTTGTTGAGGATGTTGAACTTGTTGAGGATGTTGAACTTGTTGCGCTTGTTGTTGAACTTGTTGAACTTGAACTTGTTGAGGATGCTGAACTTGCTGTTGAACTTGTTCAACTTGTTGAGCTTGTTGAACTTGTTGAACTTGTTGAGGATGTTGAACTTGTTGAGGATGCTGAATTTGTTGAGGATGTTGAAGATGTTGAGGATGTTGAACTTGCTGAAGTTGTTGAAATTGTTGAGGATGCTGAGGATGTTGAACTTGTTGAGGATGTTGAGGATGTTGAACTTGTTGAACGTGTTGAACTTGTTGAACTTGATTTAGTTGTTGAGGATGTTGAGGATGTTGAACTTGTTGAGGATGTTGAACTTGTTGTTGAACTTGTTGTACTTGATTCAGTTGTTGAGGATGTTGAACTTGTTGAACTTGTTGAACTTGTTGAGGATGTTGAGGATGTTGAATCTGTTGAGGATGTTGAGTCTGTTGAGGATGTTGAGTCTGTTGAGGATGTTGAATTTGTTGTTGAACTTGTTGTTGATCTTGTTGTTGAAATTGTTGAAATTGTTGAAATTGTTGAAATTGTTGAAATTGTTGAAATTGTTGAAATTGTTGGGTCTGTTGAGGATGTTGAAGTTGCTGTTGAGTTTGAATCTGCGTTTGTTGTTGTTGTTGAATTGAATTCGAAATCGGCTGAAAATGAGAATTAAATTGATGCTGATTTGGATGAAGTTGATGGTGAGGCTGAGGCTGAGACTGAGGCTGGTGCTGATTTGGCTGAGGCTGAGACTGAGGCTGAGACTGATTTGGATGATGAGAGAGAGGCTGAGACTGATTAGAAGGAGGAGGCTGAGGCTGAGGTTGCTGAGGAGTAGGCTGAGTAGAAGATAGATGAGCATTATATTGATGCTGAGGATGATTAGGAGGAAGAGATTGATTAGCATGATGATGGGGAGGAAGAGAATGAGGATAAGGAGGAGGAGGTTTATTAGGATGATAAGGATGAGGAAGATGAGAGGTATAAGGAAGAGGAACAGAAGGATGATGATGATGAAGAAATTGAGGAGGATGAGAAGAAGAAGCAGGTTGAGTCTGATGAGGAAGAGGATGAGGAGTCTGTTGATTAGGATGAGTATAAGGAAAAGAAGGAGAATAAGAAAAAGTCTCAGGGGGCATAGGAGGACCAACATGAGCAGAAGGAGAAGCAGCAGCAGCAGCAGCAGGGGGAGCAGGATGATTAAAGGAGGAAGGAGAATAAAACGAATCAGCAGGAGCATAAGAAGGAGTAGATAAGACAGAAGAAGAAGGAGACGGAGGAGAATATGATGCTAATAATGCAGTAAAAGAGAAGGCAGGATCAGAAGGAGAAAGGGGAAAGGACATAGAGGGAGAAGAAGAAGAAGGAAAATAAGATGAAGAAGGAAGAGAAGATTGAGGAGGAACAGAAGATTGAGGAGGATCAGAAGAAGCAGGAGGAACAGAAGAAGCAGGAGGAGCAGAAGAAGCAGGAGGAACAGATGCAGCAGGAGGAACAGATGCAGCAGGAGGAACAGAAGAAGCAGGAGGAACAGAAGAAGCAGGAGGAACAGAGGAAGCACGAGGAACAGAAGAATCAGAAATAACAGAAGAACTAAGAGCAGCAGAAGACATAAGAGGAATTACAGGAGAAGGAAGAGAAGGATTAATGAAATCAGTAGAAGACGAAAAGGTAGGAGGATTAGAAGAAATAGGAGAAGAAGAGCAAGCAGAAGACGAAGGAGGAGAACAAAAAGACGGAGGAGGAGAAGAAATAATAGCAGAAGGAGAAGAAGCAGTCGAAGATATATGAGAAGGAGAAGAAGGAACATGAGAAAAAGCATGAGGAGAAGCAGAAGTAGTAGAAGAGGAAGTATGAAGAGGAGAAGCAGCAGGAACATCGAGTGGGGAAGCAGCAGAAACATATTGGGGAGAAGAAGAAACATGAACTGCTGCAGGAGAAGGAGAAGAAGCATCAATAGAAGGAAGAGGAGTGTCCCTTTTTAACGATTCAATAATAGCTGCAATTGTTTTATCCTTTGAATATCTTGTGGCTGCATTCTCCATTTCTTTTGGCGATTTCTTTCCTCTACGCTGCAGAAGGCAGAAGGAAACAAACAAAAGCAGCAAAACAAGAAGATGTAATTGTTTTATTCCCTAAGGAAAAGCTAAACATGAACAAAATGTATTCTTTTTCTTTACCAGAAGAGGAAAAAAAGGGAATAGCTTTGTTGTACGCTAACAGAAAAGAAGCTCACAGGATTATCTGAATTATTCTTATACTGCATGATTTTGGTTTCTTCAGAAGAATCTTCTTCTTGTGATTCTTTATCACTTTCTTCTTCTTCTTCATCTTCGTCTTCATCTTTCTTCTTGTAATGCCATCGAGGATCTCGAGAACTTGCGAGCTGCCTATACACCTCATTGGATGTGTTTTCCTTGCCCCTTGCAGGAAAGCGGCGAGGAGGGGAGGGTTCAGGAGTTTTTTTTTTGCCTGTTTTTTCTTCTACTTCAGGAAAAAATACATCTGGATATTTTGCTTGTACTTCAGATAATATTGTATCAATAAAAGAATCAAGAGCAGGATCAAGAGGGGAAGCAGGGAGTAACGACAGATTATCTTCCCCTTTTGGTGATTCACGCGTGGATCGTTTAGGGGAAACCTCGGGGATTTCCTTGTCTTCCTTCCTTCTTTTTTGACAAATTTGTCTCTTCTTTCCTTCTATATCAGTTAAGGGTTCTTTAGGCCCAAATATTGGAGAAGAAGAAGAAGAATAAGAAGAAGAAGGAGTGGGTATACTACTCCCTATAGGAGAAGATGATGCAGTATTGTCTGCATGCGTACTCGTTGCGGCACCAGGAGAAGAAAGAACAACAGACGCAAGTTGAATAACAACGGCCTGTCGGTCATCTGAATTACCTTCTTCTTCTGCTGTTGCAGCAGCAGCAGTTGTTTCTGCTGCTGTTGTTGTATTATTCGTATTATTTACAGATGTATTATCACAGTTATTTTTCCCCCACATCGGGGCAAGACTACGAGGGGAAGAAGACGCATGCACAATTTTCTTTTTTATAGACATATGGCATAAATACATAATAAACAAAACAGCAGAAATAGTAATTATAGGTGCAACAAGAGAAAAAGCCTTATGAGTTCGAGCGGTAAAGTAGGGGGGCCTGGTGCCTCCTCTTCTCCCTTGTGCATCTTGATGACTGCTGGGGTCATTCTTGCCGTCTCTGGGCAAAAAAGAACTATCTGATGAAGAACCATTTGCAGAAAAAGGTATTGATGGTAAAGAAGCCTTTTTATTCATAAGAAAAGGCTCCATGAAGAGGATGATCATGGACCGTCACGATGATCACACACATCAGACACTACAGGTGTCACCGCTGTAACCGAAGGTAAATGGACATTAAAAACAACAGAAAATACATTAAAAAAACAGAGTTTCAGCAAACTACACAGAAAATTAATTAAAAAGTCAACCAAGAACACAAACAGAGAGTTTCTTGCATCTCCCTCAGCAACAGAAGCCTGCGACATCATTGCACGGCCCTTCGCGCCTGGGCTATAAGTAGGCAAGATGTGAAATTCAACTTCATCTATTAAAAGGCAAATAATTAAGTAATTAAAAGTAAATTATGTAATTAATTAAAGAATTTTTATTCGTTTTCTTTTGGTATGCTGCAGGGACACCAGAAAAATATGCTAACCTATGCGCGAGACCGCATGAGAGCGACGACTTGGCAGATACACATAACATTAGCATCAAAAGACGGAGGAGAAAAACACCCAAATGACAAATAGTAATCATTAATTGTTAATTAATTATATA